AGGGACTGAATGAACCCTTCCCGGACATTGCTCAGATTGCCGTAATGACCTTTCTCTGTCTCTCCCTCCCTCCCCCCCACTCTCAGCCTCGTTGAGCCCTTTTGCAAGGTCCAGTTGTCCAGTTACAACTGTCTCTAAACCGTCAGAGCATGCAATTGGCTGGCTTTAAGTCTCCCAGGGCCTTTGGAATGAGTCCGGTTGCAAGGCTGACGTCTGCCTCCTATCCTTTTAAAGCAGCAGCAGCATCTGAGCAGCTGTGTAAAGAGCTCCACGCAGGCGCTGCTTTCATGCCTCTCCATCAGAGCCCTTGTAGGACTTGAATCCAAAGCACTAGGAAGCCCTGGTATAAAAGACGCTTATTCAAATCCCCTAATTATCTTGGAACTGAAAAAACAAAAGGATCACCTGCCCTCATCATGTCCCAATTTCCTCTGAATCCAAACTCGTATCTATATAGAAGTCTTGTCAGTGGCTGTTCTTACTTGGCAAGACATTGCCTGTGATGTGGCCGTGTGTGTGTGTGTGTGTGTGTGTGTGTGTGTGTGTGTGTGCTTGTGCTTTGGGGCTGTCCTTGGTTGATGTCCAAAAAGTAGCCCTCCGGTGTTCAAAAGGATTTTTCCCCCAGAAACTCTGTAACCATCTTGCCCCAAACATTTCCCCCTGATCTTGTGGTAGAACGTTTCCCTTTGGTTTCACTATAATGTGGCAAATTATTCCCTTTTTTGTGATAATAGACACGATGGTACCTGAAGATGAGACCTCTCTCCTCTGCCAAGTTCGGTTCAGATGTGCTCCGCTGCTGGTGCCCGGACAGTGGCATCACCTTGCTGTGACGGTGGCAAAAGAAACGAAGCAGATCTGCACCGTTTCGGCCTATCTGAACGGCAGCCTGGTGGGCTCTGCGAAGGTGGGACGTCTGCAGGATGCAGCTCTTCCTTCCCTTGGACTCAGTATGTGGGATTCCTTTGTCTGAAGCTCCGCTACGTGGCAGAGCCCAGGGCTGAAAAAAGAAGGCTTAGCTAATTACTTTTCACGCCACAATACTTCTTTTCGGCTTGCCTTGTATGGAGGAGAGGGCGATTCAAGAAAATTGTGATACGCTGCAATATTCCAGTAAAAAACCTCTAAAATATATAAAACTAGATGCTTGAGGAGAAGGGTCAACATCTATGCATACATTTCAGTACACAGTTAGTTCAATCAGAATAGAGCTGGAAGGGACCTTAGAGGTCTTCTAGTCCAACCCCCTGCTCAAGCAGGAAACCCTTTGCCATTTCAGACAAGTGGCTGTCCAATCTCTTCTTAACCTCCAGTGATAAAGCCCGTACTACTTCTGAAGGCAACTTCTGTTCGACTGGTGGATGGTTCTCACTGTCAGGAAGTGTCTCCTCCGTTCTAGGTTGGGTCCCTCCTTGATTTCTCCTTGGTTTCCATCCGTGGCTTCTTGTCCTGTCTTCTTCTGTGTCCAGGCTCCTTTTACAGAGAGAGAGCACCACGAGGACCTCAGCCATTCCTTTTCCTTCTACAGATGCAGTACATCCGGGCACTGCCAGGGAGCTTCACTTCTATGGACCCTTCTTCTTTTATCGATGTCTTTGGCTTTGTGGCTACACCGCTGATGTGGAGAAAGAGGTCTTCCTTGTCTTGGCGCCAAGGCCCCATGTTCTTATTTGAAGAAGTTCTCTCCATGGAAACTTTGCAGCTTATGGAAAAACTTGGTCCGAGATACTATAGCAATTTCCAGGCTGTGGAACTTAGAGGTAGAACTTGTAACTGCAGGGACTTGGCCAAAAGGTTCTTGTGTGATTGAGAACTCACTAGCTCTGGTTATGTGGCTACTCCGGAGGTGGCATTCAGCCAGTTCTGAGAGGTTCTGGAGAATCGGTAGCAAACATTTTGAGAGTGGGGAGGGAATGCGGATTCTGCCGTATCCTTTCCCTTCCACGCCCACAAAGCCACAGAACCGGCAGTAAAAAAAACTGAATCTACCACTGGACTGTTCCTATAGTCAATTTGTATTTCAACTTGTGTTGGATTCAGTCGTGGGAAGTTAGAGAAAGCAGATCCAACTGTGGATTTATTTTGACATGATATACAGAAGGACAGTAACTCCAATAGGGTAGATGTTAGTACCGTGGAATTCTCAAGGCATCCAGAAAACAAGACTGTGAGACAGAAATGTTAAGTGAAATAAAAATAGACTATCGTGGAAGAAAAAAATAGGTTTAATTAAGTCTGGGCAATAGGCCAGCCATTGACCTGCCAACTAAAATTCCTTCCCCCCCCCAAAGGATTTGCAACCATTAATATGGAATGGTTGAAATCAGTCCAAATAAATGTGGACACCCGTTTTTGAGGAAATACAATTTTGCTTCAGAGCATCCCCTGACTTGTTAAGTGTGGGGGGAGGTCAAGCAAATCAAGGAGTTTGTTGATTTTTGGAACCGGAGGTTGATTAGCTGAGAATTTCTGGCTCCCTCTGACCCCCGGCGTTGTCTCTCTGTCTGCTTCCTCCTCCTTCAGGAGAAGGGTCCCATGGCCACGTGCCAAAGGTGGCTCCTTTGGTGGCACCAGAGAAGATTTCCTTTGGGCTCAACACCAGATGCTCATTTTACACAACAGTTAAAGGCATAAAAGACAGCTGTGGTGAAGTGGACGGGCGTCTGGTCGCTAAAGAGGTAGGTCCTTTGCTTCATTGGGTGCACAGAAAAACGAGAGGTGTCCTGTTCTTCAGAGAGACCTTGTTGATGCTGATGAGACTTGGATGCCTTCACTGAGTATGAGAGACACGGTTTATCCAAGCAGCAGCCTTAAGGAGAGTCTGAATGTTGAGGGACTACAAACCAGGAATGTGGAGTTAGACTTGTTCCCAGGTTCTCACTAGACAATGTTCTAAAATGTTAGCCACCCCTTTCCTAACCGTTTTGCAGTCCCGGCTCTCTGCTCCAGGAGGCAGATGACAGGAAGGGGAAAAGTAAAGACCGACAGTTTATTATTGCACGCACTTTTAGGCCATTTCAATCCTGTGACTCAAAGCAAGGAAGGGTCGATGTTATTTTCCTCCCAACGATACAGAAGTCATTTGCCATTTGCCTCTCTTACCCTGTTTTTTTGACTCTCGGGTTTAGCTGACGTTCCCACTGGTTTGGCCTCAAATTATTTTGATTGCAATTCACAGAAAGTCAGCCAGATCTTGTCACTTGCTGAGATAAGATAGATAAGAAGAGGGGGGAGAGGGGTGTTAAATTTTTTTGGGGGAAAGAGTGTTTCCCTAGAGATGACATATTTAGATTAAACGGTGCTTTATTTGTACAAGGTTAATCTAATCCTTGGTCTGAAGAACGGAGACTCACCCAGGCCTTTTTGGGGCTATCCCAGTGGAGGTTTTTCCCCCAGTTGGAGATATTGGTGCCCAATGTCATAAAATTGGTATTTTCTGTGAGAAATCCACACTGATATGTGGCCATTACAAAAATCAGCTCTGTCCCACCAACCGCAGCTTTAGTGGCGCATCCGTCTCTAGGGCGCTTGACGAATGCAGCCTCCTTTGAGCTCAGAGCTGGACACTTTGTGAGGGCAGCTCTGCTGGAAAGCAGAATAGATTGCAAACACATTAATCACATAGCCTAATATTTGAAATGTTTAAGAAAGAAACATGCTTTTTTCCCCTTTAGCTGAAGCTGTCCTCCCGTGATAATATAACACCTGTTTTCATGGCTCAAAATACTGCTGCAAAACTCCCTGGATGCTTAAGAACAATTGGTGCCATTGTGGTGGGCCAGCATGGTAAGCCAAAATGCATCCTGAATTTATAATTCATAATAATATATAATTTATAATAACATGTAAAGTGTCAACCATCCAGAGGCACCTTGGTGAGATGGGCAGGGTAGAAATGCAATGAATGGATAGATAAATAAAGTCTGTAAAATGAAAGAACAGAAATATAACAGAAATGCAGAGTTGCATCCTATAGAAAAATTGCATACATGTTAAGCTTCTTAACATGTATTCAGTCCCATGCCTAACCCTAACCCTAACCCTCATTCCACCACCCGCCCTCCAAAATGACAGAGAAGAAGTCTTCGCCATCAGGAAAGGATGCCTCTGTTCTGTCCCAAGCCTCTACAATATATATGGACGCAGATTTGGCTGTCTGCCACAACTAAGGAGGGAGATAAGCAACCCCTTGGCTGGGAGCCCAGAAAGCTATCTCTATGAAACAAGGCTTGAACTCATGAAAGTCTCCCAATCTTCCTCTATGGCTGAATTAGTAAATTGTTGTTTCCTGCAAAAGTCCCCTCCCATCACCCCACCTATAAGCTCTCTGGGAGGGGCCAATCAGTAGCCACCTGTTCCTATTCCTTCTGTGATCCTTTTTCCAAAGCTGCTCCCTCCTCCTCCTCTCAGCCCTATGCATACATACATCAGGGACAGCCTCCCTCTGTTCTTCCTCACTGCACCCTGACTAGAAGTTTGAAAAGGATATTCAAGTGCCACCTGGTGGCCAACAGGCCTCTCTAGTTCCAGCTCTGACTCTGAACACCCCTCCAGAGTCTTCCTCAGCCTCCAGGGCAGTCCCATAGTGTTCATCGCTGTCAGATTCCACCAACAGCTCAGCTGGCCGCTGTTGGGCCACAACACTGAATAGACACAATGAGATGACAAATGGGAGGCCTTGGACTATCCCTTTGTCACAGATGGTAGCACTGCTTCCATGTCTGTGGAATTTAGATTTGTTGTTGTTGTAACTGCTATTGTTGTTGTT